TTCACGGACGTAAAACAGAATATATACATAAAACAGAACAGACAACACGGCGTTAACAAACATGTTTGACAGGGAAAGAGAGAAAAATTACTAGTAATGGATCAGAGAGAAAAGTTTTAGAGGCGAACATCGATCGAAAATGACTACATTCTGCCACCCAGACAGTGAAGAAGAGAATCCTCAGCGGGAATGCGTCAATTATTTCAAAGTTTCGAAGATGTCCGTGACTTTCTGCGTCAACCAATATAACTCATAAAATCGGAATCAAGGCGGTTTTAGCACTGATAACTAATGGATATTTTTTGACTTAAGTTTTTGCAGAAATAAATGGACCGAATCGACTGTTTTGGCAAATATTTTTGAGTCACACGTAACTTACACACGAGCACTATGTCCCGTAATGCATGTACTCGTAGCAAACTCTCAGCTTAGAATACGCTCCGCTACAGTTGACCAACGCACATTGGCATCACGCTGCTGCGCTTAACATTCAACCTGAAATCGAAAGCAGGAGAACCCCCCCCCACCGATGAGAACATGATAAAGGAGGTACGAAAGTGAAGATCTGAGAAATAATTTCGAACTTGCATGATCATTAGTCTGCAACATACGGCAGAACATACATTTTTCACAAATATGACGATTTTCTCATCATCAGTCTTTTTCGGTCCATTATTGAATGAAGGCCATTACAAGATTTTGTTGCAACTGCTGTTCTCTTTGATATTTATTCGTCTTCAACTTCTTCGTTTCGTTTCATCGTATCATACATCTGGAGATTTTCCCACGGGTCTTTTACTATATCATGGATAACAGTCTGATGTTTGTCTGGTCCAGGGATTTCGGCCAATTTGACTTCTTTACTGAGGAAAGACATGGCAAACTTCTTTTTGAGCTGTCACTCGTTTCTGTCGTTTTCCCATTGTTTGCAGAAATTTCCACACAGACACATTCCCATGTTGCGTGGCGCAGTCTGCAGTTATGAATAAATTTCAGGCTTAACATCCAGGTTTCGTATCCACTGGTTAGCAATGAAAGCAAGTATTGCTCATATCGTCGAAACAAAACTTTCCATTTCGAACACAAGAGCATTTTCTACCTTCTGAAAGACTCCCATACCATTTTTACTCTTATACTGAACCCGCAGAGTCGGTTCCCTGTGGTAAAGACGGCTGTTCCAGAGAGCCATGGTTTTGCACTTGCACAAGTCTGAGCCCACTGACCTCAACAGGTCGCATGGCACGTATTTGTCGACGATGAGCCGAGTCTTCTTCGGGTCTATTTTCGGTCCTTCTTTGATGCTGGTGTCATTCAGCTCTTGGATTCTTTTTTAGACTTCTGATAACTATGATAACGTCAAATTAGCGTCGGTAAACCGCAGGTGCCTTAAGTAGTGTCCATTTCTCTTCAGCCGTTGATTTTCCGAATGTTCTGTCTTGAAAACCTCTCTTGGGCCTACTGTAAATAACCGGTGATATTGCGTAACCCCGTCAAATTCCCGTTTCAATTGGGAATCCGCATATGTTTCCGTGAAGCTTCCTACTGTTAGTTGCTCTCTAGCGAATCATGTCTATAATATACCATTGCATGCCTGAATGTTTCGACCGCCATCCTTCGCTGAGTGCTTACGAGGTGCAATAATTTATCGCTGAGACTTAATGTCCCAAGGATTAACGACGTAAAATACTGATAATGCCGAAGAAGAATAGTCAGGGACTGTTCGAATCGTTCTGAATAAATAAAGTGCATTTTAATACGTAGCATATTACATGCCATGCGTTTTGTTAAACTCTTCGTGTGGTGCAAGTAACTACTAGAAGAATGCTGTTAGGATTCGTTAGTACCAATCTATTTAACGATTTTTCAATTTTCTCTTTCGTGCCTTCAAAATACAAGGGAAGGCAGTTCGTAAATTTTTATTTTAATTATATATCTTCAGAAATCCCTGAAAGGAAACGCCCAAATTCTTGTAAATAATATATTTCCCATTGTTGTCAGTATGTACTGTATGAAAACACGTTATTGCCAAGAGCTCAGTAAGGATGACCTAGTATTAACGAAAAATGATGAGGAATCGTTCGCCGGTGCAGCAGCTGGCACGGAAAGAAGGACGCCGTGAATTAACGCCAGGAAGATGCTGCAGACTGAAAATGAGACGATGCACGGGAATGAAGGATATGATGTTGATTCAGTTTAAAAAATGAATGTAACAGTTGGCAGGCCAAATCACAGGATTATCGGATTGCCAATGGTCTTCAACAGCGACATATTGATACCGAATAGCCTGCAAGAGCCAAGTTCGAAGACCTGGGCTCGTAGATGGAACAATGCTCTGAAAGAGACGTATGGAAGCTTGTGGCGAGAAATCGCATGACGCAGACGAATTTGGAATCGGAACAAGGCAAAAGTAATGCTCGTTAAATACGAAGAAGCATGTGCCAGCAAAACTTCAAGAATTACAAATCTATTTTGTGCTTTGAGCAGGAAAACACGCAAAAGTTTTTGTAAAACGGAAATGAAAAAAGTAATTTCATTATTGGCATGCCAATCTCTTTTAATTGTGCTGGTGGTAACCATTTGGCACAACTCTTCTTTTCATCTGACATGTCGTCTGTTACATTGATACCGCAAGGATGGTTTCACCAATCATTACGTGTACTGTACCATTTGCTCGCCAAATCGTACTGGTACGAAATGCGATGAATGACCGGTTTAGATTCGATACAGTACGAAAACACAGCAGTGAAAATACCTCCTAAAAGCCATTTCGTTTCAACAGGCTCATTTATAAAGGAGGAAAGTGAAAACCTTGGACGGCTGCGACGTTTGTGCCAGTTTTGCATATTCCGCCATGCAGTTCTATTATGCCATGAACATCTTGTACTCATTCATGACGCTCTCTGTTGACTAGCGACAGCCAACTGACGAGCAACATAGCATGTGGGAATCTCTTTTCCGGATTTGGCGGGAGCTGTCTCCCCATTTACAAGCTCCTAATCGCCTTCGGTATCTCTTGGGGGGCTACACTCCGCGGTATTACGGAAACTAAGATGCACATTTGCATCACTGTGCTGGTAGGAATAAAAACACGTTCGAATATGAACTAATAATAATGCAAATACACAGCTCTCCGGATCTGCATGATATCCTATACGGGCACATACATATCTCGCTGACAGGCAATACCGAAATCCAGTTCTTGCTCGTAAACCAATTATGAACTGTTTCTGCTGTGAATACGAATCGGTGCATATTAGTTGGTACTCGATCGTGCTTTTGTTCGGCACGACACAGAAATGTGTTTTAGCATTCATGCACTGTATTAGTTGTAATGCAATTCAGCCCTGGCCTGCTTAAACGGTCCCTTTCGCTACCAAATACAAAGACCGCCCTGATGCGAAATTGCTGACTTTTGATCAACCACAATGGAAAGCCATTAATTAAATATTAAACTGAATACCGTTTAAAATTTAATATAATAACAGTTTTAATTTTAAGTTCGACAACACACGATGTGCTCTTTCAGTACGCTGTTGGAGAAATGCAGAGCAACGTATCTGTCCTTTCTTGTGGGATACCACAACATCCTTCTATTTCCAGAGTTCTTTCAGGTGAAGTTAGAAAACCTCTGATAAACTTGTGACATGTGATTTAGCTAAGTAATCGGTTCTCAGCTGATGATACGCTTCGAACTTTACCGTCGTGGATAGGGAGAGTATTCTCTGTCAATACAATGTGTTTTACGTGATCCTGAAATCACTTGATGTCTATCAATCATGTGGAACACATCCGAGATAATGAAGCATGGCTTCTGCTTAGTAACTGAATACTCTCAGACATTAACTGTACACCCTTTAGTCATGCTATGAATTAATTATGCAACGTTTCTTAAAGCATGGGATCAGCCAGTCAGAATACTGTGATGCGTTCACGTCTTAAGCCGATGATTGCCGATGCCTGTTTCGTTGCAACATGACGCTGTTGCTAAACAATGGCTTTCTGGTGGTTTTCCGTTTTGCTGGCTATCGAATGAGACGCATCACACTACAGTCACCCACTGCGCGGCAATGACATGACATGACTTTGTTTACAACTAATGCTACTAATTTTTCTGGAACGTTGAGACAGTGTTTCACAATTGCCCTGCGCCTCGAACAAAACGTCACTAATAAGTGCACTTGAAAAAATTTGCTGCAAACTTGAATCATTCTTCACAAATCGATAGACTCTTCTAGAGAATCGTAAGAGACAGCCATGACGCGCTCTACAAATATATTTTAGATAACTCAATCCACTTGCATTGAAGAAAGAGAGGGGTATTAGCAGACAATTACAACTTATCGATAGTTATCAAATAAAAAACAAATCCACTCATGGCTTCACTATTACGGTTGCCTGTAAAAACGAGTTTCAAGCAAACTCGTTACGAGTATGCAAAGCAAGTCTGTGATGTGTCATTGTGCTACGTTCTATTTTTGGTTTCAGCACCGTAAGCACTACGTTACTGCCACCGTAACAAGCAAGACGGTGCGTCCGAGAGCCGGACTCGATCGACTGTGTAAGTCTGTTCCTTGAGATGCTCTAAACCCTGGTTCCAAGTCTAGGCCTTTGTTTTTGTAATCAACGATCGGGAGTAAATCGAAATGGACATACAGATGAACTCCGGGATTTACTGTCAATAGCTAGTTTTCGACCCCAGTGGTCACCATAATATACACAACTCGTTTCTCCGGGGACCTTCAAAATAGGTCGATGTTCCGTCCGCTTCCGTGACAGTATGACTGGGTGCTATGGGTTGGGTATGAAACGACCAACTGAAAGCAACAAACAGAACCGAGTGAGTCACACTACCGGACTGAAACGACGGTAGAGGGAAAATCTTGTTGTTGGTTGGGTGGCGGTGGCGGTGGCGATGGCGGCGACGATAACCGGCTCCGGCGCAACAAAAACACATCTCGCTGACAACACCTCGTTTGCACATCTGTTCGATCGTATGCCAAATGCAAGTTTCGATCGAAGCAGCCGAGGCGTCAGTGCAAACTGCGAAACATCACCTTACTCTGATGTTAGAGATGCTCACTTTGCTTGGAGAGGCGCGGTTGGCGTGCCGGCCAGAAGGTTTCATCCGAACCAGCAATCGGTGGCAACAACGCAATGCATTTCCTTGGCCAATTTTCAGGGTGGTCGACGGCGGAGGTCTCAGAGGCACTGTTGCCTGGGTGGCCGGCGAGTCCGAATCCGAGTCCGAGTCCGAATCCAAATCCGAGTCCGACTCTATCGTCGAGCGACCGCGCTGTCTGGTGTTTGGAATTAATAAAATTAATCGCTGGTGGTGGTGGTGGTGGCGACGACGGCAGATCCGCTGTCGCGACAAGAAACGAACGACGGACGCCGACTGCCGCCGCGGTCGATAGCCACCTGGGTGGGTAGTGCAATGAGGCGAACGAATGTAACGCTTTCCCGCAACTCGGCTGGCCGACCACTTGTTTACACTGACGTCTAAATTA